CATTTGTTTAGCGATGGTTCAAAATTATAACAGCACTAAAATGATTTATGACCAATTTTGCACTAATGACCATATCAGTGCCCTTCTCATAGTCATATGATCAATATTTGGGTCGTGGCAACTGGCATGTATTTACAATAATAGCAGTCCTATTTGCAGTTTTCCCACAAACAAATTCAATAGGGGAATCTGGATTCATTTTAATGATCAAAGCAAAAAAAGTTGTTAAATTGGCCATTACTCACTTAATAACTGCATCATTTAACGATGACACTTCTGCTCCCAATTGTGGTTATAAGTCAAGGACTATCAATATGTTTGCTTTACTGACTACAGCAAGATCTTTGTTTAAATTATATCAGAATATATTTATTGCTATGAAGAACTTCTATGATGAATAAAAAAGTAGCGTAAGAACTGAGTTTGGGGAAAATTAAGAGATTCAGAATATAAAGGCTCTCACACCTTTATAAATATATACGGTTAATGTATAATGACATGTTGGAAGAGTTAACATGTGAAATCAAAATTGGACATTAGAAAATTAACTCTTAGAGATATACTGATGGCAATAGCTGAAGATAATTTCTACTTAAATAGGTTATGAGAATAAAAATGGAAACTGAAAAATCTTGAGTGTTAAATATTAGAAAACAAAGGTAGTATCAAAGAACAATTAGTGAACTTACACTTCAGAACGTATCAATTAAGATTATAGGTAGTTTTCTTTCTTTCTTAATAATTTTATTAAGTAAACATTAAAAACAATTGAACACAGTGTGACTTTCTTGGCCATCATTTTGGCCGTACATAATATAGCATAAAAGTAGACATAACTGTTGATTTTTCCTTTTTTCCTACATTGTTTATTTAATGCTGGTTACATATTTCTTTCTATTTACATTTATATACATTTATATACATATTTACAACCTAGCTTCTTTTCCATCTCCTTTTCCCCCTCATAGTCTTTATATTCATATCACATTTGTCCATTATATTTCATTTTCTTTAACTTACAAAACTTTAACTTTCATTCCTATAAAGTGTCAACAATTTCTTCTTTTCCTCGCCATTGATACATTTTGCTCCAGGCTTCATAGTACTTTGTCTCACCCTTATCCTTAATTTCTAGAGTTAGTCTGTCCGTCTCTGCACAGACCAATATTTTCCTTATTATTTTGCTTTCGCTAGGGGTGTCTTCATTCTTCCAGTTTGGGGCATACACCAATCTCGCAGCTATTATTATAGCAACATTAAGTATATTGTTCCTTTATTATATTTCTCATCTATAATTATAATAGGAACATTTCTGGTCTAAACTCTATTTTTTTGGCTAACCATCTCTTCCATCCATACCTTTATCTGCCACCAATACTCTTTTGCTTTTACACATTTCCACTACATGTGATAGTAAGTCCCTATCGCCATGCTGCATTTCCAACATTGTGGTGATACATTGTGGTGTAACATTGTGGTGATACATTGTGGTGATACATTGTGGTGATACATTAGCCAATCTTGTTGAAGGAAGATGCCATCTGTAAAACATTTTGTATTGATTTCCTTTATACAAGGTTGCATGTGTTATTTTTCTATTTCTTTCCCATACTTTTGCCAATTGTCTAATGCAATATTGTTAACTGAAATTTTTAGCCTATACTATCATAACTTTTTTAAGTTGCTCCTCCTCCATTTTATATTCTAGTAGATAATTATTTTTTATTTATTTATTTGATTTGCCAATTGTTTACAAGATAATAAGTATAAGTGTATACATAGTTGTGAATACATGAAATGGGTACATATAAGAAAAATAAAAGAAGAATAAGAGAAACAATAGGACAGGGACGGTAGGCACGTTGGTGCGCTTATGCACGCCCCCTACAGACCTCTTAGGAAAGGGTGAGGTCAATAGTAGACAGTCTAAGGTTAAAGTTTTTGGGGTTTGGGGAAGAAACTACGGAGTCGGGTAGAGTATTCCAGACATTGACCACTCTATTGCTGAAGTCGTATTTCCTGCAATCAAGTTTGGTGCGGTTTACTTTGAGTTTGTATCTATTGTGTGCTCTTGTGTTGTTATGGTTGAAGCTGAAGTATTCATTGACAGGTAGGACATTGCAATGTATGATTTTATATACCATGCTTAAATCAGACCGAAGACGGCGTAATTCAAGGTTTTCTAGTTCTAGAATTTCAAGTCTGGTGGCATAAGGTATTCTACAACGAGTAGAAGAGTGGAGAACTCTTCTTGTGAAATATTTCTGGACTTTCTCAATTGTGCTAATATCAGATACGTAATGAGGGTTCCAGACTGATGAACTGTATTCGAGTATTGGTCTAGCAAATGTTTTGTATGCTCTGGTTAGTAGTGTGATATTACCAGAGAAAAAGCTACGTAGGATTAGGTTAACAACTCTTAATGCCTTTTTGGCTATGTAGTTGCAGTGGGCTCTAGCACTTAGATCATTAGAGGTGAGTATTCCAAGGTCCTTTACAGAGCTTGGGTCATCAACAAGATCTTGACTATTCAGCTTGTATTTTATTTTCTGATTTTTTTTGCCAATATGTAAGACAGAGCATTTATTTGTTGAGATTTGAAGTTGCCATTTGTTTGACCATTCTGATACATAGTCAAGAACTTTTTGTAGGGTAGCAGTATTGTCTGTGGTATTGAACAGCTTTACATCATCAGCGAAAAGAACGCAATTGCTCTTAATATGATCACAGAGGTCATTTATGTAGAGTATGAAGAGAGTTGGTCCTAGAACACTGCCTTGGGGGACACCACTATTGACAGGTACAGAATTTGATAGGACGCTCCCAATTTTGACCATTTGTTGTCTGTTTGCCAGGAATGCTTCTATCCAGTTATTCAGTTGTCCAGAGATACCATAGGATTTTATTTTTAGGAGTAGCTTGTCATGTACCACTGAATCAAAGGTTTTACAGAAGTCTATGTAGATTGCGTCTATTGCTTTGCCCTGGTCGAGTTGTGTCGTCCATATGTTTTTGCAGTGTAAGAGTTGCAGATTACAGGATAGTTTTTTTCTGAAACCAAATTGTTTATTGGAGAGTAGGTTGTTTGTCTCTAAGTGGAGGATGATGGATTGGTTAATAATTGATTCCATGACTTTACAGGTGACGCAGCATAAGGAGATTGGTCTGTAATTTTCAACTAGGCTTGGGTCTCCCTTTTTGAAGATGGGGATGACTGTGGCTTGTGACCATAGGTTAGGCAAGGAGCTGGTCCTGAAAGATTTTTCAAAGATTATGCTTAGAGGTTTGGCTATGGCAGTGGATAGCTTTTTTAAGAAGTAGGCACATATTCCATCCGGTCCAATAGATAGAGATGGTTTTAGATTGCGTAGTGCTTTTTC